AAGAAAAAAATGGTTTACATTTGAAGAAAGCTCACTGTGATTATATTTCCATGAAGTATGAATAACAAAAGACCATTGTAAAAACTGTTACATTCTAACAGTAATAAGCACTTAATGTGAAAAATACAGCAAGGCTTCTCTTAATAAAGTATAAGCCTCTTGTTATGAATACAACTGTAACAGTCATAGCAAGTGGGTCAAGCAATCTTCTCTTATAGAAAAGAGATAGTTTTCACCAGTTTTTAAACATATGAAAAAAAAAAAGATCAGAATATTTATAACTGCTAGTGTGTGTAACTGTTTACATATTTTATTGATATGTAACATGCTATCTATATCACACTTATCATAAAAATCTCCCTCCTGCAAATACCTAAAAATTAGAGAATACTAAAAGGAACACTCCAAGTACCATAACCACTACAGCTCACAATGGTGACAGGCTGGGCCCCGCACCCCATCTCCACTATTGATGGCGGAGAACCAGAAGCTCCTAAGCAGGATCTTCCTTTAGCTCTTCTGAGAATCAGTTAATCACTCTCAGACAGAGAGCAGAGAGAAACATAGAAATATAGAATGTGACGGCAGATGAGAACCATTCAGCCCATCTACTCTGACAAATTTTCTAAATACTTTCATTAGTACCTGGCTTTATCTTATAGTTAGGATAGCCTTATGCCCTCCCACGCATGCTTAAACTCCTTTACTGTGTTAACCTCTACCACTTCAGCTGGAAGGCTATTCCATGCATCCACTACCCTCTCAGTAAAGTAATACTTCCTGATATTATTTTTAAACCTTTGCCCATCTAATCTAAGACTATGTCCTCTTGTTGTGGTAGTTTTTCTTCTTTTAAATATAGTCTCCTCCTGTTTCTATCATATCCCCCTGTCTCGTCTTTCCTCCAAGCTATACTTGTTCAGTTCCTTTAACCTTTCCTGGTAAGTTTTATCCTGCAATCCATGAACCAGTTTATTAGCCCTTCTCTGAAAGTATCAATATCCTTCTGAAGATACGGCCTCCAGTACTGCGTACAATACTCCAAATGAGGTCTCACCAGTGTTCTGTACAATGGCATGAGCACTTCCCTCTTTCTACTGCTAATACCTCTCCCTATAGATATTAGTAGCTTCCAGTCACCCATTGATATTAGTGGTGCAGCACCCAGGGAACCCCAGGTGATTGGCTGAGCCTGTGAATATCATGCATTCGCCATAAGTCCTCAATGTTTCTCTATGAGAAGCATCTGGTTGGCTGAGTGTTGCGATTCTGTATGATAACCATTAGATTGGACCAAGATTGTCAGCATTGAGATTTAGATGTAATAAAATCAAGAAGGCTGCAAGAGATAAATCCTTTGTAACATACTTTTTTGGGCTGCTATGAACCATGTCTATATAGCTCACAATTATGATTATAATTGCAAAACATTATTTAAAACTCCTCCAGTGCAGCTCTCATCTTTTCAAAATCCATCTTTATATTGGAGAGGTAGTAGCTGTTCTTTACTGTTCAACGGTCCACCTTAAACTTCACCCTTTTTAATAAGGGAAATTTTGTGCCAGAGTCACACTGACATAAGGTTCAGTTCCTTTTATAATCCCATTCACTGGGAGCCTGGATCAAATCATGCATTCTAGACACTTACTATAGCATATTTTCTCTTTTTTTTTTTTCTTTATTCATTGTGCTGCTGCGAGATGAGAAGCCAATTTACATTATCGGGGGTTTATACACTTTCTTTATGCTTGTCGCAATCCGCGACTGAAAAAATAATAATAGTTGCTAAAATGGTATTTGTTAACATCAGCAACTACCGGCTGTTTCCATATTACCAAACTTAACTATTAGTGACTGGTTTATAGCATCTACCAAATGTTTTACTGTCTCCAGTAGTTTGTAATGTATTTTTTATTCCTATAACGTTAGGAATATAAAACTGTATTCCTAACACTATAGTGTCCCTCTTAGGAAAGATTTGAATCAATCAACATAGACAGAAAATCGATTTCAAGCAGCAAGTGGATTGTGTTTCTTGAACATTATACCTTACATTCTGTTAGAATGGATATGCACACAGTATGTATACATGTGCAGAACAAAAATTAATTGATAAACGTCCAAGTTGAAGTTTGCAACATACCATTGTTCATGGGAAGGCTGGTAAATGGGGTAAGGGGAAAATTCAAATAGTGGGAGTTGTGCTGGGATGTTTGTGCACAGTATTGCATGAGTGCGTTGGCAGATCGGAATTGTGCAGGGTGCTTGCAAAGTTGGCAATTTGTAGGTTTGTGAATGGCCTGGTTCACTGTACTCTATATGCTCTCCTGACTTGGACCTGCTCATGGAGATATTGTGTTGTTGTACTGTGGTTTCTGGGGCTGCCCAGGCCTACAGGACATAATCAGTGTGTATGATGTAAGTGTTTACCATAGACCCCACTGTGATATGAGACATTAATCATGCCATTCATTACACGCAGGTGTCATTGAAGCTGGCAGGAAATAGATTCTGTGTCTCTTAGGCATGCATGGATCTCTTTGAATGCTCTGTCATACAGATGAAGGATACACACCTTGCAAAACCAGCAGCATCCACCACGTAAGAAGGACCATCCA